GCCCTGCAGAGTTTTGCTTCAACCCTAATCAAACACACCTGAACAAGCTAATCAAGGTCTGAAGGTTAGGAAGCTACAGGCAGGTGAGTTTTTATTAGGGTTGGAGCTGAACTCTGCAGGGCTGAGGCTCTCCAGGACCAGAGTTCACCACCCCTGGTCTATATGGTCATAGTTTAATAACCAATTTGGGTTATCACAAACATAAATAATGTGGACGATAATTTACTTAGCTTTCCCTGCATAAGTACTTAAGAATCTAAATTGAATTAGCTCCAAATTAAATCAAATAAAAATAAAAGCAATGCCATGGCCAACTAGAGGTGGTTAATTAAATAAGAATCCACAGAAAATAGCTCAAATCCATAACAACAAATGAGACAAAAACTAAATAAATAAATGATAATAAAAAACTCTGTTAAAATAGATCTGTGTATTGAGTCTTGGAGTGTAAATGCAAACTAATAGACCTGCCACTTTTTACAAGTAATATGATTATTTGTTCCTCATTTGATCTGTATCTTGCACTTGACCTTTTTAAACAGTTTACTTTTCAGTGTAAATATTTAAAGGGTACATACTGAACAGATGAGGCAAGGCAAGGCAAGTTTATTTATATAGCACATTTCGTACACAATGGTAATTCAAAGTGCTTTAAAAGAAAGTAAAATAATCATAAAAAAAAAATAATCACAAGAATAAAACAAGGAATTTAAAAACTTTGAAAATGATAAAAAAATTTATTTAAAACGAATTTAAGACAGTTAAAAATTGAAAATGATTATACATACATAAAATACAGTGCAATCAATCCGGACATCGCACAGTGCTCATTCAATAAATGCACAGCTAAACAGATGAGTTTTGAATCTAGATTTAAATGTGACTAATGTTTTAGCACATCTGATTCCTTCTGGAAGCTGATTCCAACTGCGGGCAGCAAAATAGCTAAAAGCAGATTCCCCTTGTGAGTAAGTAACCCTTGGTATTTCTAACTGACTCGATCCTAACGATCCGAGTGGTCTGTTAGGTTTATATTCAGTGAACATATCTGCGATGTATTTAGGTCCTAGGCCATTTAGTGATTTATAAACGAGTAAAAGTACTTTAAAATCAATCCTAAATATAACTGCAAGCCAGTGTAAGGCCCAGAAGACTGGTGTGATATGCTCAGATTTTCTGGTTCTAGTCAGAATTCTGGCAGCAGCGTTCTGGATGAGCTGCAGCTGTCTAATGGTCTTCTTGGGAAGGCCGGTGAGGAGACCATTACAATAGTCCACCCTGCTAGTGATAAAGGCATGAACAAGTTTCTCCAAGTCTTGACTGGAAACAAAACATCTAATTATTGCAATGTTTTTGAGATGTTAGTATGCTGATTTAGTTACTGCTTTGACATGACTACTGAAAACATATAGGTGAGCACCACTATAAAGTCATAATTATGAGAAACTCTGAACGTTATGCGCTGATTGGGAGTGTTCTTCTGATCTCCCCAAGTTGGGGGAGTGTCATTGACAAAATGTGGGATGCAGCGTCTGCATTTAGAGTAAATTTGTTTAAATGAATGAAATTATACATTTTTCATTTGCAATAAACCTATCCAAGTCACATGTACAAAATACGATATTATTGTACAATTACGATAGAATATATAATGATTCAGGTCTCCCTTTCATTATTTATCAAGTAATATTCCACATTTACAGCACATGCATCCCAAATTGGTAACTACTTCATACACCTATTTTGTACCCTTAATATGTGTAGCAGCCTTAAAGAAAGTACTGTTAACAAATAATGTAACATCTTAACTTTTGATTCATTTGAGACACAAGCGTTTTCTTACAGCAGTCACAGTGCACATATGTAAGCACACAGAACACTGGTAAAGCACGTCAAGTTGGAATTTTGTATTCAGTTCCACTCTGAATACCAACAAGATACGGCAACTTTTGACACTAATCTCCCCTTTGTTCAGCTGTTCCATTTCTGTTCGTCAAATGTCTGTGAACCTTGTCCAGCCGTCACATTCCTGCACGCATGTTATCAACGTCCAACCTGACATGCATTCTCATGTTCATGCCTTTTTTTTTTTTTACACACAGAATTATAGCTATGCGCATAATCTATGAGATTTATGAATCTGAGTTAAATTTGAACCATTTTATAACCCTTCATAATGGTTTTCCGGGTTCTGACGTCACTGCACCACTCTATAGAATCAAGCAACTTTATTCACAAAACAAATGTGTGTAAATTGTTTGTAAAACCAGTCCTATGTAAATCGCTGCACTGAAATGACAATTTACATAGGAATAGCTTTACAAATAATTTACACAATTCGCTCTGCTCTTTTCCTGAAATTCAATGATTGTAAGTCAAGAGGACAAACATTCAAAATTTAGCATTTTTATGAAAACACCTAATCATGAGGCAGAAGTGAACCCAATGCCAAACAATTTGTGTACCATCCAAACACAGTCAACAAATTTGGACACAAATTCACTTGACTGAATTTATATTTCTTGTGGGGTTGATAACTCATTTGATATATTCCTTCACAAAAAGAGTAACTCAGGAGTGAGGCAGCATTTAACAGGAGAAACTCTCAGAAGTTGAGAAACCTGTCCGTGACCAGTCTAGCTCAGCACAGCTTGTTGAAACTATTGTGAAATCCTGTGGTTGTGAATGACTGTTTGCATTACCCATAGTCTTCTTTTTGCTGGTTGTC